CAAGCCCTGGCCCTACCTTCTGCCCACGGCCCAGTGCTCCTCATCTGGGCCGTCCTGGGGTCCTGGGAGTCCCCGAGGCCGTGCCCTTTTGCCCCTCCCACCCCAGCCCTGGGTGCGGACACTCCCCAAGGGATCCTGCCTCACCCTTCTTGGCCTCAGGTGGCCCGCTCCTGGAAGGTTCAGGGAGCAGAGTAGAAGGCCCACTTGTCATACCCACAGAGGGACCCGAGGTGGGGCAGCAGGTGCAGAGAGTGGAGAACTGATGTGAGATTATGAGAAGGCAAGCAGTTTATGCCCCTGACGTCTCTGCTGCAGAATGACTCAAGAGTCCTGATCCCAGGAAGGGGACCCAGGCAGAGAAATTGGCGGCGAGATCACACAGAGGCCCCACTCTGCAGGGAAGCTCCAGAAACCTAGGAGAGGTCAGAGCGCAAGGCCACAGACCTCTCCCTGCTCCTGGCCACCACTCGCTGCAGGCCTTTGTTCGCACTATGAACGGTATCTAGCACTCACGGAGGGCCAGGAAGGCTCAGCACTGGACTAAGTACCCCTGTTTCTCATTTAACCCTTCAGCAGCCCTCCAACGTCACTACTATTACCCTTTCATTTTGACAACTGAGTAACAGAAGCACGAGGAGGCAAGATGGCTTGCTCAGGGTCACGCAGCCAGTAACCAAGGGGCCAGGATCTCCAGGGCATCTGCTCCAGGGCTCTGCAGGGCCTGGGAAGTGGCCCCATTCATACTGAGCATTTTGTCTCAAGCTGTCTCCACTCTGGAGACAGAAGTGTGTACGGCAGGGTGGGGGCAATTTCTAGAGACCGTCTGTTCCCATCACCCTTCCTGCCACTCAGACACCAGCCCAGAACTTGAGCCACAGAATTACAGGGTTGGAAAGGCCCTCGGAGGTTTCTAGTTCAACTCTCTCAATGTACAGGTGAGGAAAGCCCGAAAGGGGCTTGCCCAAGGTCACACAAGGTCACACGAATTGGAGGCAGAGCCCGGAATTAAACTCAGGCCTCGTCTTAAACTGGGACCCTTCCTACAACACTCTGAGGCCCAGTGAGAAGCCACTGTTTCATCTCGACCGCAGACATGACCAGAGTTCACGCCAAGAAGGAGCTAGATTAGACTTCCCTGTGGCAAGGCCGTGAGGTCGCCCGTGTGTGCCCAGGGCTTCCATAGCGGAGATCTTTCTGAACATGATTTCTCCAGATCATCCTTGTCAAGGGTGGACACAGCCCTGCCTAGAGCCAGGAACCAGACAGCATGTCTTTGCGAGGTTCCCTGACAACCCCCTTTAGCCCCTGGGACTGCCGTCTGTCACTGGGAATCTTGCCCAAGGGAAGGCTCTGCCCCTGTGAAGAGGATGTGCAGTGCACCAATGCCGACCTTCTCCCTACCCGGCTGGAGGTTTTGCAGGTGGGAATGGATGACGGGTGGGCCAGCTGAGGGGCTCACGGCCCTGCTGCCTTTTGGGGGAGTGAAGCTACAGCCTCCCCAAGGGCTTGGTCGCAGCAGGAACGCTGCTGCTGAGCTTGTGCCCACCCTGGCCCCTTAGCTGGTCTCGCCTGCATGCTGGGGCCAGCCGGTGTTACGACTGAGGAGACTACAGATACCTTAAATTCCAAACCCTCATTCCCCAGATGAAGATGCTGAGGCTCACATGGGCAAGTGAAATGTCCAAGGTCATAGGCTGGGTCAGAACAGAAACTTCCTGACTCCCCCTGGAAAGCTGGGTACGCAGGTCCAAAATGCCCGCTTCCTCCCCAGGAAGTGGGGGTTGAGCTCCCAGCAGAAAGGCTGCTCATCAAAGGCAGGGAATTCCTAAGCAGGAGGCCCTGGGCAAGCACGCTGTGGGCTTGTTCATCCCCATTCCAGACCGCGGCACCACCATCTTCCTGAGGTTCAGAGATGTACAGCATCTTATCCAAGGTCACATAGCATGCTCTCCTACCGCTCTGCTGCCCCTTCCCCACCCCCCACCCTGATCTCCCGCCTGCCAGGATCCCTGAGACCCTGCTCCCTCCAGTGCACCAAGCCGGGGCTCTTGTTGGAGTATGAAAAAGTTTCGAGGGGAGAAAGGGGCAGAGGATGCCGGCGCCCATCCCAGCCCCCGACGGCGGCTGCAGGGCACGGGGCGCGGCGGAAAGGAAGCGAGCTCCGCGCACCGCTCCGACGCTGCCCGCTCCGCGCCAGGGGGCTCCCGAGCTCCGCGCGACGGCCCTTCGGCTCATCCTCACTGCGGCGGGTCGGGCGGGGCCCCACGCGCCCCACACCCACTTCCCGCTGCGCACCCACGGCCTCCGCCCTCCTCCGCACCCCTGCCCACGGTCCTCGGCGGCTGGCGCTCCAGCTTCCCGGGGGCCCCAGGGCCAGCGCAGAGGCACCGCGGCCTCTCTCGCCTGCCCCCCGCGCCCGTCGCGGGTTCCCCGAGAGGAGGGAGCGGCCGAGGGCGATGGGCTCCCGGGTAATTCAGGGCACCTCCTCCTGGACAAATGCGGTAATTCCGACACAAGCGGGTCCCCCACCACGGGCCCCGTCCCGCACTTAGTTTTCTGGCCGTGAGCGCCGCGCCCAGAAAGTCAGAGTGTCCCAGTCTGGTGACCCCGCATCCGCCCGCTCCCAGGCCCCCCGGCGGCCCCGCTGCTCCCGGCGCGGCTTCGCTCGGGAGCAAGGGCTGCCCTCGCAGGTGCCCCCGCCCGGGCTCCTCTTACCCGGGGGCGCTCCGGGCGCAGGTCGGCCGGAGCTCGTGCGCAGGACGGAGGGCGGGGGCGGCGGGGTCTCCGGGCCGAGGGCCCCTCTGCCCACTTCGCGGCCGCGCGGGCCGCTGCGGCTCTCCTCCCGCCCGCCGCCGGCTCGGGCCGCTGGCTCCCGCGCGCTCTCTGCGGTAGTAGCGACCCGATCGCGCTGTCCCCGCCCGCCAATCGGGATGCTCCTCACATCCGCCTGCACCCCGCGCGCCGGCCCCTCCGAAGGCGATCCCCGCAAGCCGCGACGCAGCGCCCCCGCAGGCCGCCCTGCCCCGGGAGGCCGCCCCCCGTCCCCCGGCGGGTCCGCACGGCCGGCGGGCGGGCGGGCGGGAGGGGAGACAGGGGCGGGGGCGTGCGCTAGAGAGACGCGAGCGGGGACTGGGGCTCAGCCCGGCGCGCCCCCGGAGAAGTTTGGGGTGGGCGGGCCGGCCCCGCCTCCTGGAGCCCCGCGGGGCTCCCCGGCAGTGCGGAGGGGGCCCCCTGCTGCCCCGCGCACCCTGCGGCAGTCCCCACGCGCCCCCGCCACCCCGAGCCTCCTGAGCCTCCCGGGGCGGGACCGGCGGGGGCAGGCGGACTCCCCGTGGTCGGGAACCGGCCAGCGAGTAGGAGGGAGCCGATGTGCTTCAGGGGACACGGATGAAGGTTTTCCTGAGTCGAGAAAGAAAAAAGAGGGAGGGAGAAGCGGAGTGATGGAGACAAAAGGCAGGTTCCGGAGAGGAAGGGGAGTCGGGCCCAGGGCGCCGACAGCCCGCAGCCGCGGGGTCAGGGCGCGAAGGTGCAGCCCGGACTTGGGGGCGGGTCGCCCACGCCCTGCTGGGGGCGCGAGACCGCGGGGTGGGGGGCCGGGGGCGGAGGGGGAAGTGTGTGCTGGCTCCGGACCCCGGGCCTGGTTCCCAGATAGCAACCCACCCAAAGGGCTCTGCCACAGGGACCCAGCTCCTGCCCGCCCGCCACAGGTCTGCGTTTCTGTCTTGGGAGGACAAGACCTCAGTTGTCTCTGCCTGAGCGCAGGGAAGGCTAAGCATTTCCCAGACTCCCGGGGCAGGAGGGGCAGGCAGGACTGTGAGCCCCAACAGGCTCCTGGGAATTGAATCCTCAATTTCCAACACTCACCCACCTGGACCTCAGCACCCCGGCTCGGCCTGGGGGAAATTTCTGCTGGTATCAGGCCACCACCCGTTCCCCTGCCCTTCCTAGCACCCCCCATCCCTGCCCTTATCCCCTCTTCCTCCCCTTCACCCTCAGCTTCTGGCTCTTTGCTCCTGTTCGGCATACCCAGGATTATGAATCAAGTTCGGAGTCCAACCCAGGAAGTGAAATCCCCCCCGCCTCAAAAAAAATCCCTCATGTGTATGTTGGGGAGGGCCTCACTCGGGACTTTCTAGGGCTTCTCACCCGGACAGGTCTAAGGCACCCTGGGAATTCCCAGCACCTGCAGCAGGTCCCCTCCTCTCTCCCCTCCTCCCTGCATTCCCAGCCCCACCGTGGTGACATCGTTCACAGCCAGGCCACTGCAGTGCTGGGCTCCCGCTGCTCCCGGCTGGGCTGGAGCCTCTCTTTAGAACAGCAGCTCGCTAGTCACAGCCCCAGGGCTGCAGAAATAGCTGACTCAGGGATTCCGGGCTGGAAGCATTGGGAGGGAGTGTGTGACACCATCTACCTGGTGGGGACTGACTGCACATGGGTGTTGGGGAGGGCGCGTGTGAGGGGTGGCCGCTGGGGACAGCACTAACCCCCAAGACTCTCTAATCAGCTCTGCTGACCCCTCCTCATTCTTTAGATAGCCAAGAGGACCTGAGAGTCAAGGGCATAAGGTCAGATGCTCAGCAGGAGGGCACCAGAGGTCTCTCCCCACACCTGCACACCCCCATACCACAGGGCTACTGGTCTCCCACACTGAAGGGGTGACTGTCACCTGGCTGCTCCCCTTTTTTTTCTCCCTGGGGGAAGAAATGCTTCTCTTTTGAAATCCACCAAAAGCTTCATTTGCCAGGAGGAGGGAGGGGAGTTCAGCAGCTGGATTCGGCGAGACTTCAGGATTTCATGACGCGAGTCTGGAACACCACCATCCTGATGGCTGCTTGACGGGGAAAGCTTATGCCTCGATGACTGGAATGTGGTACTGCTTGGATGCAGGAGGATGGATGAAATGACGCCCATGGCTCCTTCTGGTACAATGGATCAAAAGGTAGCTGAGCCCTAGTCAAAGCTGTCTCCAGTAAAATAGGGTCTGATTACAGAAAATAAAGCATGTATGGAGGACTGTGTCTGCTCCTTATGAAGAGACCTGTGTTTAATGTATAAGCTTTCTCCATGTGCCCACTCAGCTCCTGGACTGGGATTTTGATGGGGGAGGAGGGTCAGCTGACATTTGCACCAGCACAGGGAGGTGGGAGCATCGGGTTCCCTTGAGAGGAGCTGCAGCTTGTTCAGAGCCCCTCAGGCCCCAGAGCCTCTCATCCCCAGTACAGAGACACACAAAGGTGGTAACAGTGGTTTACAGCCTTGATTTCACTTGCTCCTTTTAGACAATCCCAGAGGCAGCAAGGGCAGGAAGGGACAAGGCATGGAACTGGGTCTTGTGACCCCCAGATGCTGACCCTCCCCAGGTCTACCTGGGCTGGATGCATTGCTATAGTTGTGCCCTCCTGCCCAGGGACTCCTCACACCCCAGCTGTCCCTCCTACCCTGTGTTCTCCTTATCAGCTTCCTGTGCCAGTATCTTTAGATGTGGCCCCTGCCCACTCCCTAGCTTTGCCTGGCACTGCCCATTTCCTCACCCTCTATGCTCCAGCTGCACTGACCACCTTGCAGTTCCTGAAAGGGCTGTGCTCTTTCTTGCCACAGGGCCTTTGCACATGCTGTCCTCTTAGTGAAGGACACAGTCCTCTTCACCCCATGTCACCATGCCAACTCCTCTTCACCGTGCCAGTCTCAGTTCTCGGATGCCTCTCTTATGGCCCTGTGCTTCTCCTCTGCAGCACTGTCCCCCTATCCTGTCTTGTTCATATCTCTCCTCCCACTAGACCTTAAGCTCCAGGGGGGAAAGAACCCTGCGCATCCAGCCCACTGACACAGAGTAGGCACTCAAATCTCAGTGGTTCTGGGGCTTGGTGTCCTTAAATTCTGGCACTGCTACTTGTCCGCTGTGTGACCTTGGGTGAATTACATAACCTCTCCAAGCCTCGGCTTTGTCACTTGCAACATAGGGATTTTAATTATAAAATAGGGTTATTGTAAAGATGAAAGGGATGACGAATGTACAGAGACAACATGGCGCCATCCCTGGCTGAGCTACACTGGTGAAAAATAAGGTTTGAAGGTTGAAAGATTAAAGGAATGGACAGATTCCTCCACTCTCAGCCTTCTCCCCAGGGCACTAAATCTCTCTTCTCCCTCATTACCCCCCAATTCTTTCTCCTCCTCCACCCCACCTCACTTAGTGGCTCCTGAAACCCTGCCTCCTTCCCCCACAGGCTTCGGGATACAGTGGGCAGCCCCTGCGGCCACCCAGGGCTTGCCTCTCAGGTCCCCAGCCCAACTCGGGATTCTCTGCTCTGCCCCTGGGTGGGCCTCAGGTGCCAGGAAACCCAAGCTCAGCTCAGAGTCGAGGTGGCAGGCCTTGGTGGGGCCAGCACGGGGCGGGAGAGGCACAGGGTCCCTTCCTAATCTACATCAGCATCTCCCTGAGAGTCACCTCCAGATAACTTCACAGACTGAAACAAGTGCCCTCACCTCTCTTCCAATGGGGCTTGAGCCCCTCCCACACAGAAATTCTGGAACTGCCCAGGAGCTCTGGGCTCTGACCACCCCCTCAGGGTCGGGCTCCTGCAGCCCGATGTTTCCAGGGCCCGTGGATGAAGGGTCTGTTAGGAAGAGGTGCCCTGAGGAGGGCTTCACAGCCAACCTGGGCCGGCCTCCTGCTGCTGCTCAGATGTCCTCGCTTCATGAACGCTGCTAGGAGGTTGGCAGCCCCGTCCCCCGCGCCAGCCCCTCGGTGAGCCCCCTACAGCAGGTACCCTGCAGAAGTGGCTAAAAGCAGACTTGCTGGAAACCCCTGCCCCACCCCAGCCCCTGCTGAGTGAAAGGAGAGAGAGGGGAGGAGGAGGCAAAGAGGGCGCCCGGGAAGCTGCCGCAGTTCCCTCCCCACTCCGGACCTCTCCGGGGCAACAATGACTCTCAGGTCTTCCCACCCAGAATGCAGCAGCTGGATTTCTGCAAAGAGCATCTAAATCCTGCAGTGACCACCAGCCCTGTCACTTATGCTAAGAGAGAACCTCCCCCTTCCTCCTCCCTCCCCTCCACCCTTCCTCTTTCCCTCCCTCCTCCTCCCTCCCCTTCTCCCTCCCTCTTCCCTCCTCCCTCCCCTCCACCCTCCCCTCCCCTCTCCCTCCCTTCCCCCTCCCTCTTCCCTCCTCCC